TTTTCGTTCGAAACGACACAGTAAAAAGGCCTCTTTGCCCTACTTATACGGGACCTTTCCAAGTAGTCAACAGAAAAAACCCAAATATTTCACAATTGTAGCAAAAGGCAAGCAAGACACTGTCTCTATAGACAGACTAAAACCAGCGTACTTGGATTTACCTACAAAGGAAAGTACGTCGGAACATTCTACAGCCGAGACAAATACCAACATAAGTGAAACATTTTCTACATCTCCAAACACACCTAAAAACATTACCACAAGATCGGGTAGACACGTACACTGGCCTACTCATTTTAAAACATATATTAGATATTGAAAAATATTTTCAATATTTATCAATCTGGAGGGGGGGTTTATAGGATACAAATCCTATATTCCAACAAATGACTAAAAAAACACAAAGTAGATTTGCACACCCGCAAAATCGGACCAAAACGACCAAAAACAGATTTCACAATAAGGTGTGAAATTAATTTTCTGACCAATGAAAGGAGACGATTTGCTAAACCAAAAAAAAAAAAAAAGATAACGAGCCAGTGTGAAAAAAAGTCAACAATAAATACAGAGTTTTCAAGTCAGTCAGTCAGTCAGAGAAGGGCGCAAAAGATCACAGAAGATTGACAGTAAATTTCATCACTGACTCAAACTTACACAAAGAGCCGAAAAGTGGAGTAGGAAGGAACAACAACAACAACAACAACAACCAATTTACAACTGACTCCAAAACAATTCATAAGTACATTTTCCTTTTATCTTTATTCCTCATTCACACTCTCTTTTTCAACTTAAATTGCTCGCCCCTTTTTCATTTTACAACTATACAAAAACAAAAGAAACAGACATTATTCTGCTACTCTGTTAAAAGACAGCGAACACACACACTTTTATAAAAATCACATTTTGCTTAAACGAACTAAAACAGTAATCTTTTTTACCCTATTCACAAGATAATAAATATACAATGTTCTATTTTTTATAAACGTTCCTTATCGTGTTGTTTCTTCTTGAGATTTGCGTTGTATTTTGTGGGCAGGGTATCCCTTATTAAATTCTCCTTTAATCCGGGTACGCTGAACCCCACAATATATATATATATTACACATACATAATATATATAAACATTTTTAATATATATATATATATATATATATATATATATATATATTTGAATAAAAGACAGACCACGTTAAGATTCCCTGTAATAAGCTATTTCACCATAACCCCTTTAACAGGGTTCTGGATCATCAGAATTTACTTCCAAAAGCTGAAATGAAAAATGAAAAGAAATTCACACGTTTTTGACGGACCTCATCAAGTATACGTAAAATTAACGAAGTGAGGAAGTGAGGTGGGAGAGAGGATATGAGTATGTCATATGTATCATTTCAGTTTCCTATTTTTAACCCCAGTGTGTCGGCTAGATGTTGCTCAAATTTAACGCGTCTCGTCTCTAGATATAGATGGCTAAGGGGTGAATGATAAGAACGACATTAAAGGAAGAAGTTACACCAACCCCAATCAATTACACGACAGGTTTCATTCAAATTCTGCACGAAGGTAAAGTTTAGATTGGTATTTTAATTGAGATTGAAATATACTACCCCAGTGTTGATAATAAAATTATTTAAATGGGAATAACCGTTGATAATTGGGTATTGGGTACATAAAAACAATCACGAGTTTACTTAATGAACAAAAATCAAAAACAATCACGAGTTTACTTAATGAAGAAAATTCAAACGAATAGATGTCAACCTAACAAGCAATAAGTTTTAGTGGAATAAAAAAGATTACTAAATATAAAATGGATTACTCTTTCAATGTTCTGTCTATGAATTTTTCCAATCGACTGTTTCATAGAAAATACCCAAAACTCCACCGAATTTCAAATTAATTTCTTCGTAGATTGTTTTAACATTTAGATATTTATCAAACCTTAACCTCCCAATATGCACGTTAAAGTAATGCGAATTAACAGCGTCTAAGAATTTGAATGAAACCTGTCGTGTAATTGATTGGGGTTGTTGTAACTTCTTCCTTTAATGTCGTTCTTATCATTCACCCCTTAGCCATCTATATCTAGAGACGAGACGCGTTAAATTTGAGCAACATCTAGCCGACACACTGGGGTTAAAAATAGGAAACTGAAATGATACATATGACATACTCATATCCTCTCTCCCACCTCACTCCCTCACTTCGTTAATTTTACGTATACTTGATGAGGTCCGTCAAAAACGTGTGAATTTCTTTTCATTTTTCATTTCAGCTTTTGGAAGTAAAGTCTGATGATCCAGAACCCTGTTAAAGGGGTTATGGTGAAATAGCTTATTACATGGAATCTTAACGTGGTCTGTCTTTTATTCAAACATATCTGGTCTGAATTTTACATTGAGTTCTCTGGATATCATCCTCCTCAGGTCTACCCATACGGATTACCTAAGTTTGCATAAACTATATATATATATATATATATATATATATATATATATATATATATATTATATATATATATATATATATATATATATATATATATATATATATATATATATATATATATACATAAACACATAAACTGCGTCTAGAGATTATATGCAATTGATGAATTGGTATAAAGAGTTGCGTCTTTAATGTTAAAAGTCCTATTATGATGTTGTTTAGATTCTACTCAATATTATTAACTTAGATATATAGTGATAGAGAAAACTATTGTTTTTGGTTGGAAAAAATTTTACTAAGTTAACAAAACAGACTAATTTGACTGTCAGTAGTTTATTTGCAACTATTTATTTTGATACTTTTACATTATTATACCTTGTAAAACTAATGTAAAAAAAATAATATGAAAAGATTTTAGTACAAATTCGTCAATTTCTTAAAGGAAAAACATAAAAAAAACATTTATTTTAAAAATAAAAGATATATTAACAAAAAATAAGAACCTCCTAAAATTTATTGCACAAATGCTCCTTTCTTTTCAATAACTCTTAGCAGCCTATTGTCAACATCTGATGTTAGATTTGCAATTTTCGTGGCTGGTAAGTTGTTTGCAGCAACTTTAACTGCCTCCCAGAGGTCACACTTGCTGTTGAATTGCCTTCCATTAGAATAAATATCTCTCTTGAGGATGCTCCACAGGTTCTCAATGGGATTCAAGTCACAGCTATTTGAAGGCCAGTCCATAAGAGAATCTTCAACAAATCCCTTTTCTTTCAACCAGGATTTAGTAAACTTTGATGCATGACTTGGTGCGTTGTCTTGCATAAATATCATAGATCTACGCTTGGCTAAAGACTGGTTATCAAGCCATTCAAAGAAATATTGCTCTAGAAAATCACAGTAACTTTTGGAATTCATTTTAAGCCCGTCTTTCAGTTTAAATGGTCCCACGAGCTCATTACCAATAATCCCAGCCCATATCATGATCCCACCACCGCCTTGTTAGCGTTTAAAAAATTTTCTTGAGTCATGTTGCTTGCAAACCCATCCTCGAGCCCATCCATCGGGCCCATCGAGGGTGATCCTTGATTCGTCTGTAAAAAGCACTTTACTGAAATCAGTTTTCATGTATTTTTTGCCCACTGCAATCTTCTTTTCTCATGTTTTTTTGTTAAAATGGGTTTCTTTATTTGATTTTTTACATCAGCAAACTTCCTTAATGCTTTACACCTTGTTTCCCTTGACACCATATGAGCTCCAGCGGCCTCAAATATGAACGCACTTGACGCATTTGGGTTTCTTATTAATTCTCTTTGGATATGTGATAGATCTCGCTTTGTTAAATTCCTGAATTCAGCCTGAGACTTTTTTTCCTTGACATATTTTCTTGATTGTTCGATGATCCCTTTTCAAATCCTTAGAAATTTGAAGCGAAGACTTTCCTTTGCTAATTTCTTTGATTATATAGTTCTTTTCATTCATTGTTAGTTCTTTTTTACGAGCCATATTACTAAATTCTAGTTCTTGTAAATAATCTCTTGACACTGCAAATTGCTATAATTACTGAAAAAATACTAAATATCAATCTGAAATTGAAAATTGGGACTTAATTGCTTTCATGCTTACTCGCTATACATAATAGTACAAATTATTTCATTGGATAACACATATCTATGAATTTTACATAAAATATTTGACAATACATCTTTTTGCATATAATCTCTAGACGCAGTATATATAGGTACCTATAATATTATATAATATATATATATATATATATATATATATATATATATATATATATTACATAATATTATGTAAATACCTATATAATAGATAGATAGATAGATAGATAGATAGATAGATACCTATATTATGTGTGTGTATTTCCTAATATTTGATAGGTTAAACTAATTCAAGTTTGATCCATATGTATATCGATTTGTAAATACTTAAAATCGTAAAGACCACCACTGACATTCGAAATCTCTTTGCTATTTGAAAGACATCCCCCTCCCTATTTCACATTTATTCTATCTCTTTCTCGTCTTATCCTTTATTTCTTTTTTTTTTTTTTCGTTTGTTTCTACAGCCATCCCTGTTTTCTCTTTTCCTACAATTAATTCAATTCACCTCTTTGTACCCTTCTATCATCTCGCTTTCTCTCATAAAGCTTCTCCGTCGATCATTTTAGACAGGAAGATCTTTATTCTCATGTTGCCATTATAATATCATGGACATTGCGAAAAGGCCAAATGTTAAAATGGTTGACTTTTCATTTCAAATTATTTTCTTTCCGTCTTGCAAATATAAACAGTATCATCTTGAATCACTGAATAAACACACAACGTCACAAATGGACGTCACATTGTAACCTTTGGTTTGTTTTCATTCTTCCAAAATGGCTGATCGATTCTATTTGTGGTGGATCACTTATCAAATAATTTATAAATTTTAATTCCCAACTGCTACAAATGGACACAAACCTTCAAATCAATTTACGACTTTTTTTTTGTCATTGTTTTTTCTCTCTCATTATTTATTGTCCGATCTAGTCTTTCTTTTTTCTTCGTTTTTGTATTTTTCTTTTTTTCTTCTCTTTGTTTTCTTATTCTTCCTCGATTTTCTTATTTTTCTTCATCTTTTTCACCTTATTCACATTCATTCACTTTATTCCTTCATTTTTTTCCTTTTCTCTTCTCTTTTCTTCCCTTTTTTCTCTCTCTCCTTACAAATCTTTCTTTTTCTTAGCCACTAGAATTTGTCATATTCTTTCTTTGGAAAGCCGTCAGAGCTGGTAATTGGGTAACAGGTGTGGACTCCATTCTTAAATTACCTTTGTCTGAAAGATATTTTAATGCTTTTTCCCTGTTTTTAATTTTAAAAAAATAATTAGATAAACGGAACTTTTTTTAAATGGTGTCTTTTGTTGAAGTAAATTTGCCACGGGAAAGAAATTCTTGGCAGTTGTAAAATTTATTTCTCGTAATGGCAGCTGCAATAAGCGTTGAATTAAGTCTTAATTCTTGCAAGTTCATCGTCTGCTTTGTCGTCATATTGTCTTTTTTGAAGTTAGAAAACGAAATTATTTCTGCTGATTAAAATGACTGGCTATTACTTTCCTTTTGCTATGATTATTCTCTTCTATTCACAACGTAGTCCGCTTTAAATCTGGCACGAGAATTATTTCAGTCAAGGTACTAAGACTGATTCAGCCAAGGTACTTCGACCACTGGTAGACGATATTTATTGTGTGTAAAATACAATTGTGGCACAAGGCCAAAAAGGAGAGAGGGATGTGAGGTTGGTCTTCACTAACTATCTTATACCTAGCTAATCCGATTCACGACCCATTCATTCGTTACAATTTCTACATTCGCCACAAAAACTCGTCCATCACCAATCAATCCTCCATACACCATAATACCGCATCCTCTCAAGGGGGACCTACAAAACGCTCCCCGTGATTTAAAAATTTGATGATAAAAAATATATATATATATGTAATAATTTTTTTTTTTTTTTGTAGACTGTGTCTAAAATATTGGTTGCCAGGAGACAAAAGGGGGCTCACCTACAACTATAATGCTTTCGTGTTTAAGTGATAGGATTTTCTTTACTGGAAACTTTGAAGTAAAATGGAGCAAGGGTATAAAATAAATAATATTTATTTTCTTTCGAGTGAGCCCTTTGGTATTCGGTGTAGCAAAATGTTCGTTTATAAGACATATATTGGTAGTAAATTGGAGAAAGTCCAGTAGTGTAGTTTTGAAGTAATATTAGAAATAGGTCAGTGACAATCTACTGTGTTTTTCTAGGGCCTAAAGCAAAGCGGAAATATCATTAATAGATGATCTTGTCGGAGTTAACTCCACCTTAATTCCCAAATTGTCACTAGGGGTCATTCTCCCTATACTATAAATACTGTGCGACTTCTCACCTCGTTCTCTTTTTCATTTCTTCATTTCAGCGACTACAATGTAAGTTCTCTTAGAAGATCCGCGTCTTCCCATTTGTGGGAGACGCCATGAAAATTATACACACATACATGTACGTACGAACATTCACCAAAGAACAAACACAAATGTCCACATACACGCAAATGTTAATGTCTATGTCCATTGTAAAATTGTTTTGTTTAATACATATATTTATTTATATATACATATATATCGATTTTGTCTGTCTTCTTTACATCAGTTGGACTTAATTCAAGTCGGGCCATTTTCTTGTAGCTGGACCTTTTAATATTCTACCAGGAGTTACACACATGTTTCTAATACAACAACACACAAACACACACGGTCCTCTACAATCTCTTAACTACTACTTCACGCGTCAAGTATGGCTGGTTTCTCCGCGGCAGCGTCTTTTTTCGTCACTCTCACCGTCCCTTCTGCTTCTGGATCAGAGCTGTCAGCTTATATCCTTTTGACCAGGCTCCGAGACTCTGGCGCGAACCTTAGTTTTGGCTAACATCAAAAGTCTCATTTTGTTAATTTTATTGATAGACCAAAATTATTTTATTTTCAGGTGTTCCTTTGTTTTTCATTTTTCTTATAACGGAAATTATGCGTGGATCCTCCCTGATATTTGTTAGTTATTAGTCATAAATTAGTAGGCCCGGTTTCCGAAAACTTCCGGCGTTTTTTCGACTGGGTTCAGCTTTTTCTTTTTCCTCTTTTTATTTTAGGGTTGTCTTCTCGTTAGTTGAGAGAAGTATAGAAAAAGAAATTTAGAGAGAAAGAAAGAGATAGGGGTTTTTTTTTACGGATAGCGCCTTATTTTCTTACTTTAAGTTGAATTCTTTTTTATTTTTTTTATATATATATTGTTTTTATCGAAAACTCACTATGCTATCAATTAATTTTTATAATGAATAAATAAAATTTTTATAAGCATATATGGAAAAACAGAGTAAAACAGTTAAATCTTTTGTGGAAAAAATGTGCATGTCTTAGTAATTACAGTGTTCATTGTACACACACACACACACACGCACACACACACACACACACACACATATATATATATATATTAATAAATAAATATACATATTATCCCTTACTGATAGTACGACTCGGAGTTTCATGCACAACGCAATCTTCAGGTGCTGAGTATACAAAGGCCGTTACGTAATTTAAATTTAAAAAAAATATATCTGGTTATGGCAATGTTGGTGTATTTATATATTATACTTTAATTAATTTTTTTAATTTTAAAAATTATATTTGACGATTAAAATTAACGGGATTTTTATATATATATAAAAAAAAATTAAAAGATTTTTTTATTTTAGAGTTGTGAATATTAATTTTTTATTAAAGGGAGATTGCTTGTTCTTTTTTCACTTTTATATATTAAAAAAATAAAACAAAACAAACCCCAATTTACTTTAAAATAAACCGTAATTTATATTAAAAATTAATCTGGATCAACACATTTAAGCAGATATTTATTTTATGCGTACATGTAACCATCAATTTATAAGTAAGTTACATCTATTTCCTTTCCCGTTATAAGATTTGACACTTGTTATATTCCATTTGATGAAAGATGAGTTACCATCATTCTTTAATTGCCAGAAATATTTGGAGAGAGCAGTGCTGTTTTTATATTTTATATTAACTAAAGTAATTTGCTGATAGTAGAAATGAAATTTTCAAGGATTTTCAGTGGAACCACAATAAAATTTAACATCGTTACTAGAATGTATGCTCGCTCGGTATACAATATTATCAGTCATACATTGCCCGTTTAAGGGATAGATCATATTTCTTCGGCAGTTGCATTTGCTTTTAGAAAAATTACGTTGCCTTTATTGGATATATATATATATATATATATATATATATATATATATATATATATGATACAGGTTCGATTCCTGTCGGAGGACGCATGTTTTCTATGACAATTTCTCGGACATTCAGGCAGGTAAATGTTGTTAATACTGTTTATTATAAACAGAGCATTTACTTAAATATTTGTATCTATAAAAAAGAATGTATAAACATAAAAATGTCTTTATATATATATATATATATATATATATATATATATATATTAATTTTATCATATAGACAAAACCATTCATTCTATTTGTCATATAGACAAAACCGTCTATATGATAAAATTATAATAAATAAATAATTATCGCTCATAGAGCCTTTTTTGGATTAATGCTGTGAACGTTAGAATTTATATATTACTTTCGTTCTCATCGCATCGGATATATATATATATATATATATATATATATATATATATATATATATATATATTCCAGTCGATACCAAATGTAAATATTACAGCTGATTTTTAAAAAAATAATTGGCTGATATTTCTGATATTTTTAAATAGTTTACACATTAATAGATAATTCAAAAAACAGAATAAAACATTGCATGCAATCCATTATATTAAGAGCAATCGTGTTCCCAAGATGATTGTTTGAATCTGCTAATAATTGTTTCTGCATTCAATTCATCTAACAATTCCTTTTCAGTGGCTAGCAACAGGTATGATTCCAAATTCTCTACAGACAGAAAATCTCTTAAGCTTGTCTTCATGATCTTTAGATTTGAAAATGTCTTCTAACATTAGAGTAACTGGTAGTGTGCATATGACTTTATAAATTTCTGATTCCTTTTTATTACTAAAACACTTGTCTGTATTTGTTTCTTTATTACATTTTTATTTGGTATTGGGAGTAATCGGGTAAGCTGACCAATTCGACAATGTCAACGATTATCTCAGGTAAGGTACAACGATTGTTTCAAAAAAGGTACCACGACTGTTTCGGACAGGGTTCTATGATTGTTTCTGGCAAGGTAGTACAGTTGCTTCAGGCAAGGTACTACGATCGTTGGCGCCATTTATGCTTGCAGTGAACGGATGCTACATGACTGTAATGGACGAGGTTGTTATTGATTACGAGCGTTGTGTAGCGGGAACAGTTATGACTTGTTGCAGATGAGTTTGAGAACTTTCAAAAGAAATCAGTTCAACATTTTAAAGTGATGAATTACAACTCGCGGAGGAGTTTTACACATATTTCTATAAAGAACAAACATAGTTCACAAAAAAGAACAAGAAAATTATATTTATGCATGTACAGATAGCTAAAAAAAAGAAAAGAAAACATTTATGTAATTAGCCGTTATGTGTGTATGTGTGTGATTTCCCTGTTAACGAGTTGGTTTGCCGAGTTACTAAATCTCTCCAGACGGGAAGACGAGGCATCCTGTTTCTGAATGAGCAAAAAAGAGCAAGATGTTTCATTAGCCTGTGCTTTTATAGTCTTGAAACATCGTGTTATATTCCGTGCTAAGGGAATAAATACTTAACACCAGGTGGATAATAGAAGAAATGTTTATTGTATACAACCAGTACAATATGAAATACGGTACAGTTATACACACAGGTCAATCTAGTAGTGAGTGCCACTAACTGGAAGGTGGGACATGCTTGCGTCTTCTCATTCTCACTCTTCCTCAAGTCTCTTGTAGACAGTTGACTTTATAGGTACTTACTACCTATAGTGTAATCATTCATGGGGGTGACTGGTTATTCCATTACATCACATCGCCACCTAGCGGACGTTTTGGCGGACAGTATGGAGATAATTTCCACATATTCAATATTATTATTATTATTATTATTATTATTATAGCATAGTATACGTGAAAAGAAAGAGATTATTTAGGTGTGGATTGACACTTCTGCATTGTCCCAGGCTTTCTGGCTGGAATCAGAGGGTAATATCTGTTTTTCTCCGTCGTGGTTCTGCCTTGAATCT